TAACCTTTCAAATCCTCTGAAATCTTCAAGCTATCACGAACGTAGAATAGCCCGAGAACTCCGAGAATGGACGATAACATGCCGTATTTTGTAAGAAAAATACAATTTTCGGGAAGATTTGGGGCTGATGACCGTGCCGCCCCAAGAGGGCGGCATGCCGTGGCTATTGCCGCCTTCCAGGGGTGGCATGAGCCATGATATGTCGCCCTACTGCTGCGGCTGTGCCACGACATGCCGCCCTCCTGGGGTGGCACTAGCCACGGCGTGCCGCCCTCATAGGGCGACACATGCATTTTTAAATATATTTATAAAAAATAATTTTTTATGTTAAATATTATTAGTTTGAGTCCATATTAGTATTATTATGTATTATGTATTGTTAGTATTGAGTCAAAATATTTTTTTGTAAGTTGAGGCAGGTTGAGGCAGTTTATTGGCCCTGATGTGCATCCGACAGCTAAAGTGACTGATCAAAGAGCTGTATTTGAGTAGTGTTTACTAAAGTTTTATTTCATATTTGAATTTACTATACTATATTTGATTAAGTTTGGAGGATAGTTTTCATTATCTATTTTGGGTAAATCACTATCAATTTCCATTTAGCAAAAAATGGGGTAACATTATTGTACATTTGTCAATGGAGAATAAGACTCGAATCGAAAAAAAAAAGCACCTCAGAAAGGAGGAAGTTGATTTTGACCTTCCCCTTGTCAACGATTCCTTTTATGGTATTGTCATAAACGGTTGTAGTTTGTGTGGCGGTGTTAGTACTACTATTTCTGGCCGTTTAGATTCAGACGTATTCTTGATAGGTCTAAATCTAAAACCAGAAATAGTACTACCAACACCGCCACAGAAAGTAGAACCGTTTATGACAATACCATAAAGGAATCGTCAACGAGAGAAGGTCAAATTCAACTTCCTCCTTTCCGAGGTGCTTTTTTGTTCGATTTGAATCTAATGCATCCATTGACAAATGTACAATAATGTTACTCCAATTTACAAATACAAATGTTATAAATGTTATAAATGTTATCTATACATATAGAAATGAAAAGCAAATCAATCGGCCAAATGCCAATCCTCCAAGAACTACTCCAAAGTCATCTGATGCTGCTCCGCCAACTGTGCATCTGTAGACCCAAGGTCGCTGATCGTGTCCCTCCAACGGTGTAATACGTGATTGACCCACTACAAAGTAACAAATAAAACATTATAAAAGAAATTTTGTTCGATTTGCTTAATCCTAAACAAGTTTTAATCCTAAACAAGTTTTAAGCAACTTACATATCCACTGTTGGAGCGAAGAGGCATCGCTGCAGATGGCTCACCGTCGCTCAGTAAACGAGGATGCGAATGCGCAACATACTAGTCCATGTAATCCGGACACATGCTGCAGGTTCGTCTTCAGATTTGTCGTACTTCTGGATGGGAAGCATACAATGGATCGGGAAGCCGTCCCACTAAGCCTTGGCAAAGCTGTAAGGCAACTCGACCTTGTACAACATTGCTGACCAGGACCGTACTACCTTAGTCGGAATCAGTATAGGGGGAGGGATGACCTGCACATACCCGAGCTGTCGTACCACTCGTGATAGGATGTATGGCTCAATCACATCCGATACTGAACAAACCTGGTATAGGTAGTCCTGGGCACAAGAGCACCTGGAGTCCTCCCCTGGGGCGGCACAGGCATTTTCAACACCTAAAATCTCTAGATCTAGATCTGCAAAACATTAATTTTCATACATCTTACCAGTATAAATTTTATAGGTGCTTTGTCTGTGCCACGATTAAATTCCGGCATGATTTTTGATGTTTTAGTTTGAATGGTTTTGAGGATTTTAAGTTAGAGAGTTTAAGGTAAATGAAGTAAAGATTTAAGTTTGAAGGTTGTTTGAAGTAAAGATTTTAGTTTGAAGGTTTTAAAGGATTTGAAGTTAGAAAGTAGAAAAAATATTAAGAAAGGGCAAAAGTGTGACAAGGGGGGCGGTAAGTAGCAAAAAGGGGCGGTGTTTAGCAATTCAGTATATATATTGTGTAATAGTAGTAAAATTTAATGGGTCGACTCTTGCTTTCTTTTTTTGCCCGATTGAAAATTTTCTTAGATTTTTTTCCTTTACCCTTTTGTTATTTTTTATTAGTATTTAAGTTTTATTCAACCATTAATAAATATAGTGATCGAGGCAAGAATTAATTAATTCGAGATTGAGTTGCTCACTTTAAGTTTTCCCGTAAAAATAGGCATCGAGGCAATTGTAGCTAAGAAAACGAATTAAAAATCGTGAACTTTGTATCCTACACAGGGTCAGAAGTACGTCATTTTGTCTAATATTGAATTCATGTCATACAGTTTCCTTCTTAATAAGTAATGACTCTGGTGTTATGGTTCCCATTCGATGGATAATTGAATTGTCAAACTTTTCATTGCTGTTAGGTGATCCAAGGTTGCCAGCTTTCACGAGACCCATTAGGTCTACGCAAGGTGAAAGAACAAAGGGCCCGCCACTTTCTTGATTAAATGACATAGATAGATAACTCAATGTCTCATCGTGCAAATGAATTAAATTGCTTACCTCTTCCAGTATCTCATACACTAGACGTTTACCCTACCCGACATAGAGCACCCAGAGGTACATGGATCGCTAGTTTCTTGATCAAGATTCCAAGATATACAATTGCATTCATCTGAAAAGATTCCATTTCTATACGATATTTCTTGAGAATTCCAATGCGCAACCAAATTCCCTTCTATTGAAATAGGTTCTGCAACTGCAAGACCTTCAACTTATTCAACATATTCAATTGCAGCTTCCTTGATTATAGAAACTTGCATGAATTGAGAACTCGACTCTGCTGAGAAAGCTTTTTTGGCCTTGGGTTAAGCACTGGTCTCTTACCTTTGATTTTCTCATGCAACTAAATTGTCTGGAACCCTTTTCTCGCATCCAGTTCTGCACATTATACGAAATTCGGAATTCATGCTCTGGAAGAGCTAGAATTCTAACCTTGTATCAGGCTCGTAGGGCCAAGGTCAGATTCCTTTGTTGCTCCCCCCAGTGTAGTTGAAGGGAAAATGGGCATTGCACCTGACACGCATAAATAAGGTATACGCTTTTAAATGTGGTTTTTTATTGGTTCTTTCTTATGGGTAATCTTAGATAAAGTCCTGTTTACTGGTCTTTTGCATTTCAGGTTCCCGTAGGGGCTGTACTCAAAATCTCATCAGAAAACCCATCTACAACAACAGGAAAAGAGAGATCAGCTTCTCAACCAGATAACCGGGATTGAGCTTTCTCATACTTGTCTGATGGCGTTGGGGTGTAAGTTGGCTCCGGTTAGGGCTTTTCCTTTTCGAGCGAGAGAGTAGGATAACGTTACTCATCTTCTTTTGGTGCAGCAAGATGAGTAGTCCATGCCAGGAAATTTAGGGAAGTCGGAGTTGTAGCTCAGCTCTTTACTCATCCTCATTGGTTCAGCTACATTCGGGATCGGTTCAACCCCTTCTTCTTACTCAAGGTCGGGGTACAAGTCTTTCATCGCTAACAGAGGAAAGATAATGGACTATAAAGGAGAGTAGCTCAGCATCTAGTTCAGCATCTAGCTCAGTAGCAGCGATAGAGGAGGCATTGGCTGGACTAAAAAGAATGTGAGAAAGAGAGTTGCTATTACTAGCCTTCTTAGGGCACAGGTTTTTTTGCTGCTTATTAGCGGCGGTATAGAGAAGAGAGAGTTGAAGATGTGAGAAAGAAAAAGAAGCTTTCCCTCATTCGGAGAAGTCACTGACTTCCTTCCTTGAACGACTAACAAAGCTTCCATTCTCGGCATCAATGCTCTTGGAAAAGAAAAGATCCGATATGTCACCACTTCAATAGCACCAAAGTCAATCGTAATCTTTACATATGGGTATAGGGGGGAAGGACTCGTCAAGAGACGAGACATAGCTAATGATCTTTGATCACCGGAACGAGATTTGTCTACTATATCAATCTCTTCCCTTTGATTGAAAACTGTAATCTTAATGCGATCTGAGAGCGGATCTAAGGAGCCCCTGGTAGTGGGAAAGGTTGGAGCTTCCGAGTATCAAAGGCACAGGTCAAAGGCTTGTGTGCGAGAGGAACTGCCATCAAAGGCAAAAACAACCCTATTTTTATGATTATTTTCCTATGCTTTTTGATATTTTTATATGGAATTTAACCCTATTTTCTTGAAGAGAAGAAAAGTGGAAACTTGTTGTTTTTCACTCTTTTTGGAGTTAAATTGATGACTTTTTACACAAATATGGACTTAGCAATTTGGAGTGAAGATTTGGAGATTCGAAGTTCGTGTTTGAAGACTTATGATAAGACTCATAAGAATTGAGGAAAATAGCAAGACAAGAAATTAGGAAGAGAGAGAAAACGTAGAAGAAAACTTGAAGAAAGGAAATTGTTCTTGACATTCAACTATGTCGTCTATTACAATCGATGGGCATATAACAGAAACATAAGATGTAGATAATAAGAGAAATACATGGATAATTATCTAGGTGATAAATAGCTACGAAAATAAATAGATAAATATGGATAAATAATGGTAGATAATCCCATCTGGAATAGGATTGGGTTTTTATTCACCAACGACCCTTATCAATACCTTCTCCTTCATAGAGACATTCCCAAGTAGCATCCTCTGGAAAACAGTTTGACCATTGAACTAACACCTCAGTGATCATCCGACCTCTTCGCTTGTTGATACGACGATCAAGAATAGTAATAGGCTCCATAGCAATCAAGCCAGCATCATCCAAAGCAGGGAGTTGTGACTGAGTTGTGGCAAGTCCAACATGTTTTTTAAGCTGGGAAACATGAAAAACAGGATGGATCTTGGCACCTGGTGGCAACTCTAACTTATAAGCAACGACGCCAATTTTCTGAACAACCTTATAAGGGCCAAAGAAGCGAGCCGAGAGCTTCAAGCAACATCTATTCACCATTGATTTTTGGCAATATGTCTGCAACTTCACATAAACTAAGTTACCAATAGCAAAAGATCGATCAGAACGATGCTTATCTGCTTGATTCTTCATCCTGTCTTGAGCTCGAGCAAGATGGAACTTCAGTAGGTTAATAGCTGCCTCCTTTTGCTATAAGCTGCGATCCAAGGTAGCTACAGTAGAGTCCCCAGCATGATAAGGCAAGTGATTAGGTGGAGCTTGACCATATACTACTTGGTAAGGAGTGGTCTTAATACTAAAGTGATAAGAAGTATTATACCCGAATTCAACCAAAGGAAGCCAAAATGCCCAATCCTGAGGTCTTCCACCAGACATACACCTCAAATAAGTTTCCAGGCAATGATTCACCACTTCACTTTGACCATCGGTCTACGGATGGTAGGAAGAAGAAAGCTTCAATTCAGTTCCCAACAACTTGAAAAGCTCATACCAGAATGTGTTAATAAAGATCTTATCACGATCACTTACAATACTTTTAGGTGTACCATGCAGCTTATAAATGTAATCCCAAAAATCTTGAGCCACTGTCAATGCAGAAAATGGGTGAGACATGGGAATGAAGTGAGCATATTTGCTCAATCGATCAACAACTACCATGATAGTGTCCTTCCCTTTCGACTTCAGCAATTGCTCAATAAAATCCATGGACAAGTCAGTCCAAAAGCTTTGTTGGAATTGGAAGTGGCTGAAGAAGACCAGGTGAAGCTGAAGTATCATACTTGTACTGTTGGCAAATTGTGCATTCTCTAATGAATTGTCGAACCTGTTTTTTAAGGCCCTTCCAATAAACTGCAGATGAAATTCGTTGCATAGTGGCATTCACACCAGAGTGAACCCCCAAGGAAGAAGAGTGAAAGTGAGTAATGAGAGCTTGTCTTAAAGCAGCATCATTAGCAATGACCAATTTACCGTTTCTTCTAAGTAAGCCAGCCTGCCATGTGTACTTCGAATCAGAAGAAGCCTGAGCTCGATGCATAAGATGCACTGTATGAGGGTCTTGCAGCCAAGCATGTTTGATTTGATCAAGAAGTTCAGAAGAAACCACAGAAAAAGAGGCCAATAAAATCTCTGGTTTCCTGGAAAGAGCATCAGCTACTCCATTAGAAACACCCTTTCGAAAACATAAGTCATAATCGTACCCCATCATCTTCAAAATCCAGATTTGTTGAGCCTTAGTATGGATAGATTGGTTCATAAAAAACCTGAGACTTTGATGGTCTGTTTTGATTTGAAACTTTCGACCAACTAGATAGGAATGACACTTTTTGACTGCCATAAGGATGGCCATCATCTCTTTTTCATAAACTGAGAGGGTTTGATTTTTTGGTGATAGGCCACTGGTTTCCTATTTTGGCTTAAAATAGCTCCCACGCCAACAATAGAGGCATCAGATTCTAGAACAAAAGTGTCATCAAAATTGGGTAAAACCAATATAGGAGCTGTTACAATGCATGTTTGAGACTCTCAAATGCTTCTTGGGCAGCAGAATTCCAAAAAAAAAAGCATTTTTCTTCAGCAGATCAGTTAGTGGCTTGGCAATTGAGCCATAGTTCCTTACGAATCTCCTATAATACCTTGTGAGTCCTAGGAAACCTCGTAGTTCCATAATGGATTTTTGCACTGGCCAATCAGACACTGCTTGCACTTTATTCACATCCATTGCCACCACTCCCTTACTGATTACATGCCCCAAGTACACAACTGTTGCAGCCCCAAACTCACACTTTGAATGTTTCAAGTAGAGTTGATTATGAGCAAGTACATCAAACACTTGTTGAAGATGCTGAATGTGAGAATCCCAATTGTTAGAGTATACAAGAATATCATCAAAAAATACCAAGACAAACTTACGCAAAAATGGTTAGAAAAGACAATTCATCAAGCTCTGAAATGTGGAGGGAGCGTTAGTTAGCCCAAAGGGCATGACTAAGAACTCATAATGGCCTTGGTGAGTTCGAAATGCCGTCTTATGCACATCATCTTCATGCATTCGTATCTGGTGATACCCCGAGCGGAGATCCAAATTAGAGAAACAACAAGCTTGGCTAAGCTCATCAAGCAATTCTTCTACCAAGGGAATAGGGAATCGATCCTTCATGGTAAGCTTATTGAGTTGCCGATAGTCAATGCAAAGCCTCCAAGAGCCATCCTTCTTTTTTACTAACTCCACCGGGGAAGCAAAAGCACTAGTGCTGTTTCGGATCACTCCAGTTTGAAGCATTTCAGAGATGAGCCTCTCAATTTCATCTTTTTGAAAAGCTGGATAGCGGTATGGTTTTAGCTTCACTGTTTGCTGCTCATCAATTAATGGAATGCGATGATCATGCTCTCGAGAAGGGGGTAGAGTGGTGGGAGTCTCAAATATAAACTCATAAGAAGTTAGAAGATTCTGCAAATCAACAGGTAGAGCAGTAATATCCACTTGACATAAAGAAGGCTCATAAGAATTGTGAAGTAGCATAGCACAAGTACCTAATGTAGTAACAGAGAATTTTGCAGCATGTTTTTGAGTCACCAATTGAATGGAACCAGCTTGTAAGCCCTTCATACAGTATTGCACTTGAGCCATAGTGAACTCCATTGTGAGCTTAGAAAAGTCCCACAGAATGGGTCCAAGAGTAACCAGCCACTCAACTCCTAATACCACATCACAGCCAGATAGAGGGAGAAGCATGAAGGTGGTGCATTGAGCAAGGCCCTGTGCTTCCCAAGGTACATCATAACAAATATCTCGTGCCCAAAGTTGGTGGCCATTAGCAACTTTAACTCCAATGCCAGTAATCTGATGGGTTTGCCAACCAATTCGTTTTGTCGTTATTTTGTCCATGAAATTATGAGAGCTCCCTGAGTCAATTAAAATGATTGCTTTCTGGTGCTTGATCGCATGGAGAGACAGAACAGGGTCTAGAGTGTATTCAATACCAGCAATCCCGACTGGAGTCACTTCAGGGTAGTCATCGAGCTCAGGTATAGTATCCTCAGTTTCTGATTTGATGATGCTAAACAAATTGGATCTGATACATGTGTGACAAGGAGAATACTTGATGCCGCACCACATACAAAGGCCCTTTTTGCGGCGCTCATTTCTTTCTTCTCGGGTAGGGGCTTTAGTATTTGGAGAACGGTGCAAAATAGGTGTGTTTTTGGTTGTAGGGGTTATAGTGGTAGTGTTTGATGTTCTGTTTTGGTAAGGGAATGTTATGGTGGGTTTTGTGTTTTGTGGTGTGGGCAAAAGGGATGGTAAAGATGTTGGAATGGTGGAAATAGGTGTCAGGTTCAGAAGTGTTGAAGATGTGTATTGTTTGTAAGGCACGTTGGGTTTTCTGGGGAGATTAAAAATGATGACTTCAACCTGTTTAGCAAGGTTAAAAGCATGGTTCTTGGGTAAAAAAGTCGAATTCTCTGTTCCACCTCAGGCTTAAGATTACTTATGAAAATTCCCAGAGCTTGGTCCTCCGATATATCTACAAGGCTAAGTAAACTCTCAAATTCTTCAAAATATTCATCAACAGTATTTTTGTGTTTATAGGCAACCAAAACAGAGAAAGGGTCGGTATATTCATTATCACAGAATCTAGCTCTCAAAGAAATCAAGTACTGATTCCAAGTTACCTCTTGTAGAGATCCCTTATCTCGCATAAAACATTAGTGCCATTGGAGAGCCCTTCCATCCAGATGCATCATCGCAACAAGGACCTTGTGCTTCTCTTCAGTGTTGTCTGCAGTGAAAAACTGCTCGACTTTCATCTTCCATCCAAGGAAATCATCTCCATTGAAGCATGGACACTACAGCTTGGTATGTTTGGTGAAGGGTTTATCGTCGCCAACAACTATTGGTCGGAGCTCTGATGAGGAGCGAACAATGCTTGACCCCACCAGAAGAATCCCCAGTTGTAGTGGCAAGAACTGTATTATCCATCTTGAGCATGAGTTGGTCGAAGAGCTTATTCATCTCCGTGCGTAATGCTTCCATACTAGTTCGAGATTCAGCACAACTCTATTCTATGCTTTCATCAATGCGTTGAACCTCTTTTTGTAGATTTCTAACGTCTTTTCTGCAGTCGTGTTTGGACCCCGTCAGCCATAGATCTACCTGTTTCTGATACCAATGATAGGACTCACAAGATTTGAGGAAAATAGCAAGAGAAGAAATTAGGAAGAGAGAGAAAACGTAGAAGAAAACTTGAAGAAAGGAAATTGTTCTTGACATTCAACTATGTCCTCTGTTACAATCAATGGGCATATAACAGAAACATAAGATGTAGATAATAAGAGAAATACATGGATAATTATCTAGGTGATAAATAGCTAGGAAAATAAATAGATAAATATGGATAAATAATGGTAGATAATCCCATCTGGAATAGGATTGGGTTTTTATTCACCAACGACCCTTATCAACTTATTGAAGATAATTTGAAGAATTGAAGACCAATGAAGAATTATTTCAAGGAGCAAGAATTGAAGATTGGAGCTTAATTGCGAAGGATTGAAGATAAGCCATGAAGAAGCCTGGAAGTCATAGAATTTTAGATATTTTATATGAGATAATACTCAGTCCATATAAGCCCACAATTGGAGTTCAAATCCCAATTTGTGCCACATATATCCAAGGAAATATCCAATTCCCGCAAAATCCTGATATTAGTCCTAGTAGGATTAGGATTCAACGCACTCTCGGTAAAAAGACCATAACTTTCTGCTCAGATGTCTGTTTTAGGCCCGTGAGTAGCCATTAAAAAGCTAACTCTGAGATCTACAACTTTCGTTTGAAGTCCAAAACCCATTTCTGGCGTTTTCAAGCCCGAAATTGCTGTGCGATTCCAGAAAATTCTAGGATCCGATTTTAATCCCTAATTTCGGTTGGGAAGACTTTTAATCCAACTTGGAGACCAAGTTAAGAGTTGAAACCGATCAAGAGTCATATCCTAAGTATAATTGGAGTATTTAGGTTATTTTTCCACTATAAATAGCCACCTTATGTAACCCTAGAGGATATATCAAAACAAGCTCTCATAATTCTCTTCTTCTACCTTTCTTTAATTTTATTTTTCTTTAGTTTTAGGGCTAGGGTGCAACACCCTCTCTTTGCATAGAGAGGGGCAGCAACCCTAGGTTATTTAAGAGGAGGATTTCGCCTTCAAGGTCTAGTAAGTTTTCTTATGCCTTTCTTGGATTTCTCCAAATCCATGAGTAGCTAAATCCTTAATACTTCTTATCCTTTGGTGATTTTAATCAATTGATTATGGTGAGATTTTTGTACTTATAATTTGATATTTGTTCTTGATAAGATAGTAAGCGAGTCTCTATTTTATTTTATGATCTTGATTGTTATTGATTTAAACTGGCCAGTAAAGAGGTAACATGATGGATCTATAGTTAAATCAAACGATGAGTGACACCTGAGTTTGATTGTTTGGTAAGAAATTGGGGATGCTTGACTGCAACTCAATGGGATGAGTTTACCAATGGGTGATTTATTTGCTTATTGTTTGGTTTTACTTGTTAAGCATGTGTGAAAAATTAATAATTCAATTGTTCTTAATGCTTTGTTCTTAAGTAGTCTTTAAGCCCTAAAAAGGTAATTGATTACTGAAGGAATAAAAGGAATAGTTTAGCTTTGACTAGCATCTTATCTAATATACATGTTAGGGTTTCCCTAGACCAGTTATCTTTAAGAATTAAATATTAAATTCATCTTTTTAGTCAAGGATCCATAATTAATTTGATTGATTTCTATAATTGGAGAAGCAGTATGCCCTTTAAATTATTGTTTTCTTTATAAATTGCCATAGATTTAGATTTAATTTACTTTGTTTTGTTTTTAGTTTAATTGTTTTCTTTATAATTAATCTTTTTAATCCCCTGTTTTCTGTTTAAAAGTAATTTTTAAGAGAAGATTTATTCTTTGGAAAAGTCTATTCCCCTTCTCTGTGGGATTCGACCCCTCTTTGCCCTATCTACTTAGTTAGGTTATGTAGGGATTATTTTTATGATTGCTGACGACCGATCATATAGGTTAATATTTTATTTCAAATTTTATTAATAATAATTATATACACATACTAATTTAATAAATATATAAATAAAAATAATAAAATAATATATAATATCTTTAAATACTAATACCCTTAATGGTTATTTTACATTATAATCTCATCCCACCGTTGTTTTCACTTAACACCATCGTTTCCATCGCTGATTATATTCTCATCTGTACAGTGTCTAATCTGATCTGTACAGTGTTTAATCTCACAACTCCAATTGAAACGGAGACAATCTCTACTAAACGCACCCGAAATTGCAAAGTTATGGTGAGTTTGACAGAGAAGAAAATTAGTTTAATAAGAGTAGTTGAGTTGAGAGGGTTTTTGATTTCTTGTTTTGTTTTGGACGGGTAGGACTAGATAGACATGTTAATCTTACGGGTCATAAAGGTTGGTAGCAAAGTAGCATTAGGCAATGCACCAGTTAGTCACAAAACCCACGGACAAATTTTGGGAGATGTGGTAAGTTTAATGATGGTGCATCTTTAACTTTTATTTATGATTATAATTGCCTCTAAAAAAATTTTATTTCTTTTATAAAAGTTTTATTTTTTTGAATATAATAAAATATTATATATGATTTTAACAAAATTTAAAAATTAGAAATGCTTTTCACCAAGTTTAGTCCCAAATAAAATTTTATCCCAAATTTTAAGGGTAAATCTTAAATTTTGAGACCCATTATCTTAGGATTTTAGGGGAAAAAAATTATAAACAATTTTAATAAGATTTAGCCCCAACTAGAAAGGTTATAATTTTTTAAAGGGTAAATTTTAATTTTTGATACCCTATCTCATAGGGTTTTAAAAAATATTATAAACTATTTATTTGGTATACGGGTAATTTTGACATACAAATTCTCTCTTCTATGAACAATTATTATTTAAAAATTCTATATCCACTTTTTATGCAATCATTACATCTTTTTAGTATATTAATGGGGTTTAACCCTTGGCTTGTGCATGGGTGAATCAGTTAGCTGGATCCATATAGGATTACTTATGATTCCCTACATTTTATAGAGTAATACGTGGGTAAAAGTACACATGAGGTCTCTGTGCTTTCATGCTTTGTCACTTTTGGTTCCTGTACTTCAAAGTCCTCTATTTTGGTCCCTGTACTTATAAAAGTGTGCACGGGAGGTCCAAAATTAGATGGACCGTTAATTTTCTGTCTGATCGTGATCGTGTCGTCAATGATCATAAAATAATCCCAACAATTACTAACTAAAAATAGCTGGGCAAGTAGGGGTCGAACCCACAGAGAAATTGGTTATTATTCTTTTTCTTAAAACAAAATAAAATAAAGAGAATTTTGGAAAAGAGTTTAAAAATTAAATCTAGTAACTATAAGATTAACTAAGAGAACAATCAAGAATATTAAAGAAAACAATTAATCAAAAAGCAGTGAATGAATTGAGAAAACAATTAAAGAAAACCCTCCAACATAGAATTAATCTCCCTCTTGACATGAATAACATGGATCATTGATATCTAATAATTATGAAAACCTTGTATAGCTTGATAATTTAAATCTTAAATTACCTTAATTAGATAAATTTACCGTTCTAGGGCTTAATCTACCCCTTTTACTCTTTCAACAATCAATTACCGTTCTAGGGCTTAAAGATTGTTTAGGAATAAAGCATTAAGTACAAGTAATTTATAAACAAGCACAACAAGCAATTTCTCAGTCATTGATTCTTATCTCTCATGGAAGGAGGTCTAACTCTCATCCAATTGCTACATATGATTAAATATGAGGTTCTAATTCTAGACTTAATCTAGCTAATGTTAACCTAATTTATCAAGGCAGTGTCGACTCCAACCCATCAAAACAAGCAACATAGGATTAAAACAGAGATTTAAGAAATACCCAAAACAATTCTCATACATAAGCACAAAGTCTCACCATGATATAAGTCAAGAGATCAATTAAATTCTACATTGGAGAAAAGAAAAGGATTACTCACTCATAAATTGAGTGAGCATCCAAAAATAAGAAGAAGAAA